GATCAACCAAGTATTTTGTCTAAAAAATCAAACTATGGTAACCAATACCTAGACCTCTTTGGTAAGGAGTGTACTGAATTTTCTCCAAGAAGTTTACCCAATTCGAGTATTGTAAATACTATTTTTAATCTGCCTATGAGTGTTCGAGATACGCGTTGATTTATGTGCTTCCATGTCTTTTAGACAGAATATATGTCTCAAATAAAACACGCCATATAATAGATATATTCAGGTTTAACCAAATATATAATAAAAAAAAATAGTGATATATTTAAAAAATAATTCTGATATTCAGCTCAGTAGCTGATCGCCCTATCCAATCATGAAAATTTTTAAAATGTGTTTCCACAAGGAAGGTACAGGATAATACTGTTTTTTAAATGGCTTGTGTCCAAGAGCGATGCTGTATCCCTAAAAGTTCGAGCTACTCTGTACATCTGATAGAATTGTAATGCTGGTGAACAGTAGAACAGTAGAGTTGATGACAAGAATGTAGATGTCGTTTATTGAACCCACAAGGGTCTGTAATATTTTACGGACTGCCCGCATTAGAGAATATGTTTCTCGGAAACTACTAGTGGAAAAACATTGAGCCCATGAAAAACGTTGCTTTACGTGTTGAGATATACAACAAACCATATATGTACTTTCGAAAGCCAAAAGAGAAAAAGTAATAAGAATAAAAAATCACCCGGGGTATTACGTATCTTGAAAAGTGACATTTCGTAAGTTTTTCAAGAAGATGTTAACTCAGCACAAGCTGTACACTTGTTGTAAGCTCGTTTTCTAGCTGCACGTGTTGCTTAACGTCAGCGAACTGCGATCATAGCGAACAAACGTGGAATAACTATTTGCATACTAAAATCTATCTATTCTGCCAAATGACATTTCGCCTCTTTTGTTTTACGTTTTTTAATTTTATTATATAATACCCCCGCCGCACAATTCTACTAAAGAATTGTAATTTTGTCATACAATTTCAGAGCTGTACTTGTATTTTGAAAAATTCACGTTTGAAAGAAAAATGCAAAATAAACTACACAAAAATTGCATCTCTTGATAAAAAAATTATAACATTGTTTTGCTCCAAGCAGACAGTTGAAAAAGGGGATATGCGATCATAAGAGCACAGATCTTATGAGTTCTATCTACTACCAGAACCGACCACTGCGAGAGAGAAAGAGAGAGAGAGATAAATTCAAATTACAAATGGTTTCTAGATGGAAAAATTTTATGACAGCACCTGCCAGCAGTTTTTTCGAGCGAAACTTGGCAGCTGTTTTCACCAAAAATTACAATACCTTTGATAACAAGTAATTATGGTCTCTCAGGTCACTAGAAAATGACGCTAAACAATTTTTCTGATTTTATTGTAATATTGTTTTTAAATATTGCTAATCTGTTACTAATGAAATAGTATTGTCAAATACCCTTCGGGCTTCTAATTTTTTTCTGCGAAAAAGATCGGAAAAACACAATGCAAATTACTGTTTTTTTAACAAAGAATATTCGTGCAGGTGCAAAGATCCTTGTTTTCGACTCTGATTTTTGTTGCCACCAGCAAACATGCTTTCCTGTTTATTGTACGATGTAAAAAGTGTTTTTTTAAAGGTATAGAACTTTAAATTGCAATAAAACAACGATGGGTCATTCGATTGACATGATTTTTTTTTATTCGAAAGATAATCTTGAGGCATTACATTTTAAATATGATTTCTGGCATATGACTGCTACGGCTGGCTTGGATGTAGTCCAATCTGGACGTCCAATTTTCGATGACTATGTCGTTTGTGGCTTATCCGCATAGACCAATGACTTTACATAGCCCCACAGAAAATAGTCTAGCGGTGTTAAATCACAAGATCTTGGAGGCCAATTCACAGGTCCAAAACGTGAAATTAGGCGGTCACCAAACGCGTCTTTCAATAAATTGGTTGTAGCACGAGCTGTGTGACATGTTGCGACATCTTGTTGGAACCACAGCTCCTGGGCATCATGATTATTCAATTCAGGAATGAAAAAGGCTCTATACCGATCACCATTGACTGTAACGTTCTGGGCATCATCGTTTTTGAAGAAGTACGGACCAATGATTCCACCAGGACATAAAGCGCACCAAACAGTCAGTTTTTCTGGATGTAACGGTTTATCGACATAGACTTGAGGATTAGCCTCACTACATATGTGGCAGTTTTGTTTGTTGACGTAGCCATTCAACCAGAAGTGCGCTTCATCGCTAAACAAAATTCGCTTATGAAAATCGGGAACAACGGCAATCTCGTTTTGGGCCCATTCAACAAATTTACGCCTTGTTTGATGATCGTTTGGCTTCAATTCTTACACGAGTTGGATTTTGTAAGCACGCAAACCAAGATCCTTCCGCAAAATCTTCCATAAAGTGGATGGACACAGATACAATTCCTGTGCTCGATGGCGGATGGACTCTTCCTCAATGCTACGCTCTACAGTAGTAATACTGTACGCACCATAAGGCGTCTCTGGAGATACGAGTTATCAATTAGAGTAAACGTGGTGTGAAAGCGTTCCATGGTTAATCGAATTAACTGCTCTGATGGACGATTTTGTCGACGATAAAATGGACGTAGTGCGCGATACGTATTCCGCACAGAACCATTATTTTCGAAATAAAACTGCACAATTTGCAAGTGTTGTTCAGGCGTGAGTCTATTCATGATGAATTGCCAAACCAAACTGAGAATAAATCACTTGGCAACTGTCAAATCGGTCGCCATCTTCAAAAGTAATGCCAACTTAAAGTTCTATACCTCGACAAAAAACAGCCGTATGTATGTATGTATATATCATATATTTTATAAAATATTTTTTTTTAATCTTAATCTTTTTTATGTGTTTTGATTCGTCCAGACAAATATGGGGGATGAATAGTCGGGATTATGTTATGTCACTGGTTAATGATTTTATGTAACAATAATTATTGTTGTTGCGTTGTAACTTGGCTGTTATTTATAACCATGAAAAAAAATATGCGTCACAATTCTCTAATCTATCATATACTTTGCTAAAACGTAGGTTGGTTCATCCTAAATGCCTTTTTGATGCATAAGGATCAATTATTTCTGGAGGTTCCGTTATCTATCTCGGTCTCCTGATCAGTCGCCGTGCGCTGTGCGGGTTCGAGTCCCGTCCCAGGAGAAATTTTTCTCTTGGCTATGGATGTTGTGATTGTCCGTAGGTGGTAGACGATCTCTGACTGTCGAACGTGGAGGTACCACCCGGCGGATCTCGTAGGCGGAGCCAGAATGTGTGCATGTTGCATGCACACGTGTTCCCTCGCCAGAGTCCGTGCGGCGTTCCCCTTTCCCCTGTATCCCCCTATAGCCCCACGGTACCCAATGGCTGTTTAGGCCTTATAGGCCTTTGTGGTAGTTGGAGTATAAAAAAAAAAATACTTTTTTCACGCTGGCCTGCTTATATCCCAAAATCCAAAAGTATCACTCCACATTTTTGAAACCTGCAGGTCTCTGGGTTAGAATGTGAATGTGACGCTGTATAGCTCCACGGTACCCACGAGTGTTAAGCCCTTCGTGGTGGACCTAGTACTGAAAAAGGATCCATAATTATAATGCCATATCTTTGTCAGTATATCAGCCATGATACTCTCTTTGTGCAGAATTTGGTACAAAGTAACCAATTATTCAATAGTATTGAAGACTCAACCTACTTGACGTCATTTTATTTCCCTCTATATTCTATATCCTAAATTTCCAGTTATAGTTTTTGACATACATATTTAATTTTAATGAGTAGCTAAATAGCAATAGAAAATTCAATTTTGTTATATGTACAATATCACATATTTCATATTTTATAAAATAGGTAGATAGGCACGTGGAGATGTTTAGATTTCATTTCCAACCATCAATTTCAACATGTGATTGAGAAAATATTTTGGATAAATACCACATACAATTTTCAGTCCCGGAAAATTGGTGGCAGCATGTATGGAACTAGTTTTGTAATATGAACCTAGCTTTAAGGCTTGCATAGACACTCTAGCTTTAAGGGCAGTTTATACTAGTATGTAGCGCTTGCGTAAGTAGGACATGCAAGTTGATGCAAGCGGTACTTGCATCCAAGTTAAGGTTTACACTACACACCTACCTTTGTAAGGAAAACTTGCTTAAAGTCCAGTCAATGCAGTTCATCACGACCAAACACTCTCGTCACTTTTTTAAGCGCACAGGTGGAGCTTTCGCGAAAGTCGTTAGTTGCGCAAGAAAGGGGAGTTTACTCTAGCATTTAGCGCTTGCGTAAGTTTTATTTTTATCTAACTTGAAGAAAAACTTGCAAATGTAGACACGAAAATGCACGAAGGTTTAACTTGCAATGCGGACTCGAGTGCATTTGTTGTTTTGACCGAAATTACTTGCGCAACTAACAACTTTCGCGAAAGCTCCACTTGCGCGCTAGCTGTACTTTCCTGTGTAAGCTTGATGCTTGCAGACAACTACTAGGTACTTGTAAGCAAGTGTTTCCCTTGCATAGGTAGGTGTGTAGTGTAAACCTTAACTTGAATGCAAGTACAGTTTGCATGTCCTCCTTACGCAAGCGCTACATGCTAGTGTAAACTGCCATTTACTTCTGTCAAAACAGAATTTATTTGCGAAAGCAACAGATGCATGCAAGTCCGCGCTGCAAGTTAAGCTTTTGTGCATTTTAGTTCTACATTTGCAAGTTTTTCTGCAAATTTGATGCAAACAAAACTTACGCAAGCACTACATGGTAGTGTAAGCTCCCATTGATGGTATGTTTTACTTGCATTACTGTCTCACAAGCAAGTTGATACACGCGCTAACATCAGCCTTCTGTTGGTTTTACTCATGCCAAGCAATTGAAGGGACACGACAACGAAAACGAACGATCTGGTACCACAGATACTAGTCCTGTTTGACGACTTAACCCTTAAGTACCATGGCGGGGTCAAATTTGTCCCTCCACGTTTTGTATGCTAAGTTTCGCTACCAAAATATTTATGGCGCGCTGCGCGCGTTCTGCTAATCTTCAACCGGTAGGTGATTTATCGATCCACAATAATTCCATTAATTTATCTGCTACCACTGCAGAGTTAGGCACATGTACGGTCAAATTTGACCCGTTTATGGTATAAGTGTTTCTAGTGCGAGTAGCGAGTAATTTGAAATGGCGGGGTCTAATGGCAATAAACGCGCTCTGACACAGAAAGAACTTGAAGCGGACGCGCAAAAATTATTTCTAACCACTTTAGGTTAAGAACTTTAAGGACCGTTTGACACGTAGAGCTCAGCATGTTTACCGAGAAAACTTCGTAGTGTCATTTTTAAAGTTTCTGGATTTCAGGAACCAGTTGAAGGGAATGTGTAAAATATGGTCATATTCTAAAAATCAAAAGAAAAAGCTCATCGTGCGATAAATGTCGAGAATTTATTTGCAAAAATGATGCCCGCACGAAGACGTTATGCATAAGTTGTGTTAAAAAGTAAGTTCCAAAACATGCTTGTCATATTTTAGACACGAAATCTAAATAATTTTTTTTTTATTTTAGGTAGCAGCTATGATACCTAAAATTCACCACTGAATACAAGAAAACTGAAATTTTCTGTAATTTTTCTTATAAATTTAGAAAGTGCACATTTTTGTTAATTTCACTGGATACCACTTTACTGGACTATTAAAGAGATACATCCAATTAAAAATAGCCCTCCATGTAATACAGGAACCTTTGGATGGCTAATGATTCATTAATCCACGTATTTTGGGAACCAGTCTGACTGAAATAACCTTCATCAATTCAGTATCCAAACGCGTGTCCACAGCACCGTATTAAAGCGCGACGGAATATCATTTCGCTGACTGTATATTCCATTTTCTTCGCGAACGTATAAATCCTCTATGAATATATGTATGCGTAATGTCTTGTTATCTTTCATCTTCTTCTCGATGTTAATAGAATGAACTAGAAAATTGTATGGATGCCTTGCAGTCGCAAGCGTTACAGAAGGCTTGAAATTATACATCTCACAGAGATAAAAGAATGCAGCTCAATTTATAATTTGAAATTACAGTCACTTCGAGTGCCTCTTATAGTAGAGTACAGCACTGAATTGTGGTGAAATTGTGCATTATCCGTTTTACTTCCCAAGCCACTGGCGAGGAGGCATTGTAAACGCGAAAAAATTTCAAAAATGAGATATTACGCTGTTGGGCTGATGAAATTTCCACAGAAAGTTAGTACTACGCCAAGGACGAGAAAGATTTACAGTTTTTGGAAATCAGTCCAGTAGCAGCGGAGAAAAAGGTCAAAAACAAAAAAAAATCGCCTTAACTTGGTTTATGATTGTAGGGGGGTGGGGAGGATGTATCGCAATTTTTTGGTGGCGGTATATCTATGAACTTTTGACCCCAGCGATTTCACGCTCCTATTAGACATATTTCATGTATATATTACCCCTTATATTTGCCCTTAGACAATATTTTGTACATGAAGTGCATTAATAATAATAATAATAATAGCCTTTATTTAACCTGGCGGGTGTCAGCTAAAAGCTGTTTTTCATACCAACCAGGGCCAAACAAAATTATAATACAAAATCTGGGATACATAAACATTGTTGAGTAACAATAATGAAAAATCTATTATGCCAAAAATAGGCATTTTTTTAATTTAAAGAAAAAATCATATATATTCACAGTTAACAGTTACACCATTACATAAGTTAAAAACTAAATAATATAAGGTATTATGACATATTTTCAAAAACAAATTTTTTTACTTTTGACCTAAAAAGTGGAACAGATAAAACTTTAAAGCTGACAGGGAGCATATTATAGCGATTGGGTGCAACAAAAGAGAAACTCTTAGTAAATAGGGTGGTTCTATGATGGGGCGTGTTAAGGGTGTAACCACCGAAACGGAGGTTGGCTGCATGATGCTGACTTCTCAAGGATAACTTATTATTTAAGTATATAGGGTATTTGGTCAATAAAATGCTATGAACCAAACATAAAATGTGAACCAACCACCTCTGCCTCATCGTCAACCAATTCACTTCTTGAATAAATGGAGACACTCGCTCCCTTCTTCGGATTCCAACAGAATATCTAATACAGCTGTTCTGCACTTTCTGAAGTCTGTAAGCTTCGGCTTCAGTCAAACAAGGACCAAACACGGAACTTCCATATTCTAACTTACTTGAAATGAGTGAATCGCAAAGCTTAATTTTAGTATCTTGAGACAACACGTGCTTAAAGCTGTAGATGCTTTTTAGTTTAGCAAAAGAGCTCTGTACAACCTTAGAAATATGATCATGAAAAGTTAAGAGCTCATCAAAGATTATTCCTAAGTTTAATACCGATATTTTGTGTGTGAGCTGTTCACTATTGAGGCATAGCTTTATAGCATCTCCTCTGAACCCGTTCTTCTTAGAGCGGAAGGTAATTATGGCCGATTTGCTACAGTTTATGTGTAACCCGTGGTATCTAAACCAATCACAAACGCCGCTTAAATCTACTGCTAGTTTTTCATTAGCATCAACACATGAGGAGGGATCATAGGATAGATAAAGCTGGGTATCATCAGCATAAGAATGTAAGGCGCAATGTTTGACCGACCGATCCAAGTCCGACACGTATAAAGTAAATAAGATTGGTCCTAAAATTAGCCGCTGTTCGTTGTTGAGCGAACATCCAGGCGACAAATTTTTTCTTGGTCTGCTGAGAAGAGGTCAACGATGTTCCAGCTATGTAACAAGAGAGATAAAGATACGATAAAAGATAATCATCTGCTCAAAACTTTCGTAAAGTGGAACATTCACGTACAATGCAAGAGCTGTACTGTTATTTGTTGACAAGTTTGAAGATTGAAAAAATGAAACTAATAACATTGTTTTTCAGTCATCTCTAGACACGCCATTAAAAAAATCAGAGAAAAAGTATTTAGAATATTTCTCCAGACAGGCTGTTGAAAGAAACACATTCGTTAAGTCATCGCGGCATTGATTGGATTAGGTGATTGATGTCTTGTTGGTCAATGTTTGTGGGGGGTGCGGTGAATTTTGCAACCTTCTTCCCATCATGTCCCATACATGTTCGATGGGGTAAAGGTCTGGACATCGCGGAGGCCACTTGAGCAGATTTACTCCGGACGCTTCTGGAAAGTATAAACTAACACATGCGACATGAGGTCGTGCATTGTCCTGTTGAAAAAGTGGATCTTGCAATGTTTCCAAAACGGGAAACAGATGTGGTTGTTAAACTTCGTGGATATAGAGCTGGATAGTCATGCTACCTCGAATGAATACTAATCATGACCTGCTGTCCTAAGCGATGGCACCCCATATCATGTACGATAAATATGTCGTACGATGGAACATTGGACCACGTCTCCTATTTACTCATGCATGGCCATTATGAGTGCCCAAACAAAATCCACTGAGTTCCATTCCATATTCCATTCAAGTCTTTCCCTACTCCATACCAATCGTCGCCGACTATCTTGTGAGGTCAGAGGTTGTTCAAGATGGGGACGTTATGAAAACAGTCCAAAAGACCTTATTCGGGGGTAAGCTGTCCTCATCGTTCTCGCCCTTCCGATAGCATCAAACCACTGGTTCACGTCCGCCCTTGTTGTGGAAAATCGACCTCTAAGGCCCGTATCGTCAGTCATCCCTACAACTGTAGGGCGCCTTTATGGCCTCCTTGATTGTCATAGTTTTCTACTTCTCCGTTTCAGAACTCTATTTTGAGGTTATGTCACAAACATATATTTGCATCAAATTGTGCTTGCTTTTGAGTTATATCATGTTTTATCAGCCTGAAATTTCCTACAATTTAAAAAAAACATATCTTCACACTAGGAGAGCGCTGACGCTGACACGGGACAAGTGTAATCTAGAAATTTTTGAAGGAGAGAAATGAGTATGACAATCAAGGAGGCCATAAACGCGGCCTACAATTGTAGGGACGACTGGCGATAAGGGCCTAAAAGCTAGTTGCCTCAGATAACGATCCTGTCACTCTGACGTCCAGTACTTCTAACTCGTCGATTTCGGCCTTCTTGGAACCACGTTCGAAAACATCTCATTACAGTAGCTTCGTTTTGATTCACCCAATTAGCGATTTCTCTAAATGAAAATCTGGCTTCAGGTAACCCTCCCACACTCGGAAAGTTGAGTGAAATTAGCGCGTCTACGAACTCTAGGCATGATAATGCAATGAAATAAAAATGAAACAAATGGAACTAACACAGAAAAGTCACTGAATATTAAGTGAACATGTTAATATTGTTCGGATCCTGATATGACAAAAAAGTACAGCTGGGAATGCCTGCAACATGTTCAGCGTATACTTCCGTGATAGCAAATACGTATACAAGTTTTTATCAAAATTCAATAAATAATTCTGCGTATTGCATTTTATGTCACTTAGGGCCAATTTCACCAACATTTATATTTAACGGTCCCTTGGACCAATGGGAAAATACCTTATCGAAATGCAATTTGACGGAAGCTGTCAAAGCTTTCTGAATAATAAGGGTACATTACAGATGTAATATTATGTCTTTGTGCTTTAGAATTAGGATAACTTTCCTAGAATTTCAAATTTTTATCATTTCAGAAAAGACGGTCGGTTATTTAAATGGACCAATGAAAATGTCGGAAATAATAGGTCGATTTTGTAGCTATTATATTTGGTATAATGTTTTCACTGTTGGTGACGACTGTTCAGGCATGGCAATCTAGTTCTGTCTGTATATCACGTACAGGGTGTTTGCTGTACATAATACATACCTGTAGAAATGTACCGATTTTTCTTATTTTGCAAAAAAAGGGTATAAAGCGTATTCCAACTGGTTCATCTTCTTTTGTTACATCAAAAACAATGTTTGCCAATTTATGATCTAGAAATCCACACCAAATGTAAACAAACAGCAGATTCTGCATTTCTGGGACCTAAAACATCGATATTTGTAAAAGTATCCGCATCCACCTATTATTCATCGTCTAGATCGTCAGAATCAACAATACCTATTTATGGAAATATATCTCCAAACATTGTTATATTTTCTTATTATTTCTATTATTATAACACGTCTGGGATATAAACTGCTTTTAAAGTGATCTGCACATCTGCAGTGTTGTCGAAGCGGCAAAAAAAAAACGGAATCGGTAAATAGTGTCGTTGAATTCGGTATAAAGTAAATGCCTTCCCAAGATCAGTGGTAGATCAAGGACCTTTGAGTCATGAAAAACGTCTGTTATTGTACTGGGCGCGCACACAACATGTTTTTTGAAGGCATAGTTCTATATCACAACTTCTGCAATGTGCATACTGGTCGCTCTTTCAAAGTACTTTGCAACCGTTCTGGAAACTGGTTTTTCGATTCTTGCTTATGGGATTGTGAATATTTTTCTGTTTTACCCCTGAACTCATCTCTCATTTTAATTAAATATTTATTTTCAAAACAGACAGGTTTCGGTTTA